TACTTAAGACATGCAACATCAGCAGTATAATCAATACAATAAATTTGTATTGAAGTTATTATGTTGAAATCAAATTCTGCTACACTATACCTTTTAATTATTCTGACTTTTATCTGTTAGATTAAGAAACTGCCCGAAACTCTGATTGTTAGTGGTTTTGCAAGAATGTAAGAATACCAATGGTATGTACTCTCTCAACTCTATGTACCTTCCTGTATATAAATAGAGTAATATAGTCGCTCCAAATTCTCAAAAGTTCTATTGTGGGTAATTAAACGTTTCAATTTTAATCCCACTTCCCTTTCCAGCCCTCAAGTCCCTATCCCCCTTCCTGTCCCTTCCTCACCCTCTCTCCTCTTCTCCCCCATTTATCCCCTTCTCCCCCATTTATCCCCTTCTCCCTACCCCTCCCTCTCTCCCTACCCTCCTTTTTAAGAAGCACAAAAACAACTGTATATAGGTCTCTCAGAAAATATATTATGATCACTAAAACCTTTAGGGAAATCGCACCAAATATTTCACATTTGACTGCATGAAAATAGCATGGGGTCTCTTTAAAGGTTAATATTTTTTGCAGCATTTAACTTAGGCCTACTCTGACTAGGCTCTGTCTGGTAGTGCCTTGGATTGTTTTTGTCCCCAGCCCCCATTCAACACCTTTTTTCCCCCTCTCCTTGCATCCCTCCTCTCCTTTCCCCCTCTTCCGTTTCACCTCCCCCACCTCCCTCACCTCCCTCTACATCTCTTCTCCCCATCCTCCTTCTACATTCTCTTCTCCCTTCCCTGTCCTCCAGCCTCAGACTTTTTTGTTGTTTTAAGATTCGGCTACTGGGAACAAAACGTTCAAAGTAGCACGGGCTATGGTGAGCCCGTAGTGGACTTACCTGGCACAGGAGCGGGGCTGTAATTTGCTCAGATAGACAACTTTCCATTTATATATAGAAAGGGTACCCAGTTAGCTTTCTTCCCTCTTTCCACCCTTTCTCTCCCTCTTCCCCACTCTTCACCCCATCTCCTATTTGAACCCCCTCGTCCCAACCCCTTGGTCCCTCCGAACGTCCACCCCTGTTTTTCCCTTGATCCCCTTGTCCCTATCCCTTTAGTCCCTCCCCTTTTTCCCCCTTCTCCCTAAAAAATAATATTAATTAAGAAGCACTGGAACAACTTGAAACTGAACTGTAATGACATCCTGAACTTAAAAGCTTCCTAGAAGGTTGTAACAGAACCCATGGGCACCACACCAGAAACAAATACCTATTTGATATTACAAGAGTGCGATTTAACCAAACTAGAAATGCTCTACAAATCAAGGGACTCAGAATATGGAATGACCTTCCCAATCATCTCAAAGGCTGTACCTCTCTCAACCAGTTTGAGAAAAACTTAATACTTCATGTAACCTACCTTACTCCCTAAATGTCAACCCATGTCTTGATATTTTAAAAAAATACTTTGTTGACCAAGTTATATAATTGCTGATTTCTGCCATGTTCCCCCTCCCCCCTTTTTCCGTTTTCAATAAAAATTATACTTTAATCTCAATTAGTATTAAGATTTAGCCTGTGGTTTTTCTTTCCCACACCTTTCCCGAAACGCTGTGCGTATTAATGACTAGGTACTGTATGTATTAGCTCTATCAATAACTCTAACATTGTTTGTAACTCATCTACTATGTATATATATACTTTCATCTGAATAAACATTTTTATTGTTTTTTACGCATGGGTTTCAGAAAAAATATGAACAATATAAACTCTAGGGGAATCACATGATATACTTCACACTTGACGTCATTAAAATCACCTGTGTATAAATGCTAATCCTTCTTAAAGCATTTAACTTATGCCTGCCTCGTCTGGCCTATATGTCTGTCCCATACCCTAGCCCCACCCTTACAAATTTGGGTGGGGCTAGCTCAAGCGTCTGGTCTCCAGCTTTGTTCAAACATTCCCCTATAGTAACCCCCACTACAAGCTAACTAGACTAACAAGGGCATTAGGTGATAAATAAGCCTAACCATTTCTGTCCCGTCAGGATTCGAACCCAGAATTCTTGATTGTGAGTCGAGAATGAAGACTTTTAAATGTCTAGATATATTACCTGGCGGCTTAGACATGAATTTATTTGTTCTGTTTGATTGGCTTGAGGTCTATCAGCCTCACATGAGGGTTATAAAGGCCTGCACCACAGTGGAGCTTATTATGACAAACAAAAAGTATACTCTAGTCCTCAACACAGTCCAAGAGTAAACTCTGTGTATATATACACAGAGAGGCACACACTTCTCGGTATAAAAAGTTTAATATGTGCCTTGCCTATCCCGATGGGTTAGGTAGGGTTGAAAATCCGTTGGCGAGTCGTCTTGTGTAGGGTGTTGTCACTGGTAACAAACTACGTTTTCTTAAATTTTGTGTTTCCTCGTCGCCGTCCTCCTACCACCGTAACCGGCGATGGGAAACAGCTCTGGCGAGGTTGCATATTGGCCATACTCGCTTAACCCATGGTCACTTAGAGCGCCGCCCTGCTCCTTATTGTCCTAATTGCATTGTCCCTCTTACGGTCGTGCATGTCCTTCTTGAATGTCCTGACTTCCAGGACGAGCGTATGTCTTGCTTTCCAACCGCCCCTCGCGGTCAGCTGTCCCTCAATAGAATTCTTGGTGACTCGGATACTTTTGATATCGTTCGCCTTATGCATTTTTGTTCTCGTATTGGCATCCTTGGTGATATTTAGCGCCCTCTGATTATTCCGCACATTTGATGGTGCTACATAGCCTTCCCAGTTTGGTGCCTTCTTTTGATAATTACTTACTTGTGTAGGATGTGATCCAGGGGCCAGATTCACAAAGCAGTTACGCAAGCACTTACGAACCTGTACATCATTCTTCAATCTTTGACGGCTTTGGTTACATTTATTAAGCAGTTTACAAGCATGTAAACTTCCCAATCAACTGTTGTTATTGTTATAAACAGCCTCCTGGTGCTTCCGAGCTCATTAACTCTTTAATAATTGTAAACAAAGCCGCCAAAGATTGAGAAAAGATGTAGAGGTTCGTAAGTGCTTGCGTAACTGCTTCGTGAATCTGGCCCCAGCCCAACATGGGCTGGTGACGAGCCTCTAACTTAGCGCAGCAGTGTGGCTCTTGCCAGCCCTGACGTCACAGTAAACACAACCACTAAACATGACGGACTTGTTAGTGAAAAAACTGACAGCTGAGGACTTTAATGCTGAAAGATGTGAGTAAAACGCATCGTTTGTATTAATTATATTTTGCAGGAATAATTGTGGAAAGGACCATGCATGGTAGGAAGTGGCGAAGTATATGAGGGCAGGATGTTGGGTTTCCGCCCCCTGGGTTTGGCGAGATAAAAGTCACAAGTTATTTTTATTTTTTTTTTATTAACACAGTTGGGTATATTTGAATGTATGCAGCTACCCTAAACTATATGACGAGGCGAAGTGCGTCAAGAACTAGCTACTTGGTACAAAAAAAATCCCCATCACACAGGATGGTTAATCATTCAGGGACACATTCCATTCCAACCCAACCCAATCCAACAATATAAAAAGAAAAGCTACAGTTAGAAAGCAAACTTTGTTGTGATGCCTGTATAATAACTGTACCCTCTTAGGCATATAACCTAGTCTCGAAAGAATTTTTAAATCCTGCGTGTACTAGTGGCCGGTCCGTCTAATTACCACAAGCTACCACAAGCTACACAAGCTTCACAAAGCTTCCTGGCAATACGTTAGTAATGAATAAATATGATATATTTACTCATTATAATGTTGGTGCTGAATGTACAACACGAAAAAACATAACTTTAATCTGAAAAAGTATCTTTTTATAAAGAAATTAGACAAAAATAAAGAGCTGGTGACGCCAAATTAAGTCGACGATCCAAGCATCGGTTAGGTTAGGTTACGTTTGGTTTGGTTAAGTTAGGTTAGGTCAGCCTAACCTAATATATCATATTTATCATTACTAACATATTGCCAGGAAGCTTTGTGAAGCTTGTGTAGCTTGTGGTAGCTTGCGGTAGTTAGACGGACTCCTAGTGGCTTTACAAGAATGTAAACACCATCAAATCAAATCAAATCAAATCAAATGTTTATTTAGGTAAGGTACATACATACAAGAGATTTTACAAAGAGTGATGGATTTATAGATAGGGCTAGTACATACAATGCCTAAAGCCACTACAATATTACGCAAAGCGTTTCGGGCATGAAAAACTTAAATGACTAAAGCTTAATACTAATTGAGCATAAAGAATAAAATGAGTTGAGAACAAATAAAAAAAAGAGATAAAAAAGGGGGGAACATGGCTGAAAAAGCAGCACAAATACAATTCTGTTGACAAACAGTGCCATTTAAAAAAAAAAAAGACATTGGTTGACAATAGAGGGGTAAGGTAGGTTACAGGGAATTTATTAGGTATAGCTTCGTTTTTATCTTAAACTGGTTGAGAGAGGTACAATCTTTAACATGATTGGGAAGGTCATTCCACATTCTGGGTCCCTTGATTTGTAGAGCATTTCTAGTTTGATTAAGTCGTACTCTAGGAATATCAAAACTGTATTTATTTCTGGTGTGGTGCTCATGGGTTCTGTTACAACCTTCTATGAAGCTTTTGAGGTCAGGATTGGCATTACAGTTCAGCATTTTATATATGTATAATACACATGAGAGAATGTGCAGTGACTTAATATCTAACATATTCAGAGATTTGAGTAGGGGTACCGAGTGATGTCTGGGGCCAGAGTTGGATATTGTCCTTATAGCAGCTTTGTGTTGAGTAATTAGAGGATGTAAATGATTTTGGGTAGTAGAACCCCAAGCACAAATACCATAGTTGAGATATGGATAGATGAGGGAGTAATAGAGAGTCACCAGGGCAGAGCGGGGTACATAATATCTGATCTTAGAAAGAATGCCAACAGTTTTTGAAACTTTTTTTGATATATTTAGAATGTGTCCCTGGAAATTCAGCTTGTGGTCAATGAGAATGCCAAGGAATTTGCCATCTAATTTGTTACAAATTTGGGTATTGTTTATTTTGAGATTTATTTGATTAGAGGATTTATTGCCAAACAGAATATAGAAAGTTTTGTCAATGTTAAGGGTGAGTTTGTTGGCACTTAGCCAAAGATGGACTTTATTTAGCTCAATATTTACTGTGGCATTTAGAGCAAGGAGGTCAGGACTGGAGTAAATGAAGGTTGTGTCGTCAGCAAATAGAATTGGTTTGAGGTGTTGGGAGGCATTTGGAAGGTCATTAATGTAGATGAGAAAGAGGAGAGGGCCAAGTATGCTGCACTGAGGAACACCAATGTTGATGGGTAGGGTGGGAGAAATTGAATTATTCACAGAAACATACTGGAGCCTGTCAGTAAGGTAGGATTTGAGGTATTGCAGGGAGTGACCTCTGACTCCATAATGATGTAATTTAAGAAGAAGGTTTTGGTGGTATGTAACCATGCTATGTATCCTCACAAACCCAATGTACCTTCTTGTTTGTTTGTGTGTGTGTATATATATATATATATATATATATATATATATATATATATAATATATATAATTATATATATATATATATAATTGCATATATATATAATGCTTGCATATGCAAGCATTAAAAAAAGCTCATTTGCTGTTAAAACTGTATGTATCATTGTGTTAGGCTAATTTGAGCTTAGGTTAGAATGAGTTAGGGGAGTTTTAAATTCTGTTGGCAAATTGCAGTGCTAGATTTAGACTATTTTAGGCCTAAATCTATGGAACCTTGGAACTTAGAACCCCCTTAGTAAAAAAAAGTTACACCAGACGTTTTCTCAAGGTGAACACCGAAACAGGACTATAGGTTGCTGGAAAAAAAAAATACACACGTCCTTTTAATTATTTCATTGCATGGTGTTTAGTGAAAAATGCAAATTTTTCACTAAATTTGTCAAACATCCAGAATTAAACAGTGACCAATGACCAAATATGGTCATTAGTCAATGTTTATCATCATAGAAAGAATAAATTTTCTCTGATATATTTCTTGCTAATGGAAAAATCATGCTTCTTCAACTCGTCACAATATTTATAAACCCATTTTCCTACCAGATGTTCAAGACCTCAGCCATAGTAGTGTTGGGGACTTGGAGTTACGACAACAGAGACAAAGGATTCAACATTTGGCCGAGGAAACGAATGCTCAACTTAAGAAAAATGTTTATATGAACTACATGCAGTTCATAGAGACTGCCAAAGAAATATCATGTAAGTAAATAAGTTTGAATAAAATCTTTGTAGTTTCTAAATTTTGTGGGCCCTCTTTGACCTGAAAATTAGGGTTCAGCAATGGGATCATTAGGGCCCTATTTCAAAATTATTAAGGTTTCACCAAGATTGTTTATCAGCATGTAAAGGATGAATAATCTTTGGCAAAAAATTTATCATACATGGTACTGGGTAAATTATGGAATGGGAGTGTTTGTAATTAGATATACACTATAGCGAGCGCTTTGTTCTGGGTTCGTATCCTGGCCAGGGATTTACTGGGTGTCAATCCTTAACTGTAGCTTCTGTTTACCCAACAGTAAAATGGGTACCTGGTTGCTAAACGAATTGGCGGGGTCGTATTCTGGGGAATATTAGGATTAAGGATTTGCCCGAAACGCTACGCGTGCTAGTGGCTGTACAAGAATGTAAGAACTCTTGTATATACAATATAAATAAAAAAAAATATATGCTGTGGAAAGGAGCATGTTAATGCATGTACAGGTATGTGATATTCAAGCAGTAAGAAAATTTTCTAGAGGTTTGATCACAACACAGTGCTATGTGTGCCAAAAAAAGTTAAACAAATGCATGATGGTACCTCACAAAGATTCAGGAGGTGAGAGAATGCAAGTTGAGCTTGAATGTTGATAGGTGAGTACAAGAGAATTCACATTAGTGCAGTACTGCCCTGCACGCAGTGGTTAGATATTCACCCTGCACTTCCCGAGGGAAGTACGCCTGTGTTCGTATCCTGGTTGGGGAGGATTGACTAGGTACCAATCCTTAACTGTATGCCTCTCTTCACCCAGCAATGAATGGATATCTGGTTGTTAAACAATTTGGCAGGTTGTATTCCAGGGAAAAATTAAGATTAAGGGGCTGCCCAAAACACTATGAGTGTTAGGGGCCTTACAGGAATGTAAGAACTTTTGTATATATAAATAAGTAAATAAGTATTAGTTGCAACTATGGCTCTGTTTTCATTTCTGTTCACCTTTCTTTCTGAGATAACTCCCTTGGTTGCTTTATAAGGTAAGATCTGACAGTCCCAAGGACAGGATATGTAGTCAGGGCAGTGTGACACACTATAGTGTCAGATTTAGTAAAGCCATATAGGGTCGTATTGGTACGTGATAGCACTGGAAAATATTAAATCTAGCATTCTGAAAAGAACTCAAAAGCCCTACAAGTACTCTTCTTGATAAAGCTATGTACCTGTAGCTACATTTGTTCTAGTGTTCTTTTTAGGCAGGTCTTTCACTGTACCAGTAACTTTGCTATTCTGATCTGTACATGAATCCCAGTGCACACCAGAAAAATGTCTCCAGCTAAGGGGTCCAATCAGAGTAGTCAAAGACCCTGTGAATTGCCTAAGGCGAGGCTCTCAACCCCGGATACCAACTCGGGCCAGCAGGTGTTGGTATTTGGTACTAATGAGTTTCAAGTTATTTCAGTGAATCCCCTGTTCTGTGTGAATAACTTGCAGAGTTAAGCTGTCTTAAGGCTTCGTATTCTATAAACCCTCCCATATTCTGTAGGAGCTTCGCTGACTTTCTGGATGCTTTCCCAGTAGGATGGCAAACTGTCATTTGCTCCCTGCCTCCCTGTAGGCCAAACAGAACTTCTGTGACTGATGTGACCTTTGAGTATGGAGCAATCTCAGCAAGATAGCTTCTGGGAGCCACCTAAGGGACTCTCCTAGAAATGTATCTAATTGTTAGTTACTCATTGTATTGATATTGGTTAACCACCAAATTCTCTCTGTAAGCACCAGCCTTGCAAATAACTTCAAATGATTTAATATTTTGATTCCATCTTTATTGTACAAGAACAATTTTCCATTTCAGCTGGTTACTTTATTGTTTGTATTTTTGCACTAAAAATATATGAAGTAATTATGTATCATTGAAATAAAAGTACAGTATAGTTAAGATACATTCATAATGCACAAAACAGCTATATTTCTAAAATAAGGTGTTGAATTGAGTGTTATAAAATGTAACAAGAAAGCTATATTACTAATGTGATACTGAGTCCTTTTTTATATTTTTGCACTCAGACCTTGAAAGTGAGATGTACCAACTTTCTCACCTTATCACAGAACAGAAATCTTTATTAACATCCCTACTGGAACTGTCAGTTGCAGGTAAGCTATTAAAGTAGGATCATTCAAGCAACCTATCACTATTTTAAGCACAGACGAGCCAAGACTGTGAAATTTCATGCTTCATTCGTTAATATAAATCAAGTCATTTCCATTGATGAATTAATTCATTTAGTACAATAAGGAACATAAGAATAATGGAGCACTACAGCAGACCTGTTAGCCCATACTAGGCAGGTCCCATTTAAATCCACACACACTCGCCCATATGTACAGTACCTATACAATCTATTTTTTAAACCTGTTCAACTGCTTATTTCAACAGTACTAGCTGGCAGCCCATTTTGCTCACGCTCAACACTTTCCAAACCAACACTTCCCTGTATCCCTTATAAAACAAATTTTCCACAGTTTGTATCCATTGTTGTAGGATCTGATCTGTTCCAACAGGTTAAGAACCCTGCTTATATCCCCCCCCCCTTTGTTTATGTCCCTAATCTACTTAAAAACTTGATCATATTGAGACATTTTAATGTCTTCATAGAAAAGGTAGCCAATAATGGGTAATGGCATCATCACTATCTCTGTATTTTCTCTAGAGTCTCTGTCCATTCTGTAATATGGGAATTAGAATTACAGTGTAGTCCAAGTAGGGACTCGCTTTATGATTATAGATGTTTGAATCGTAATACAGTACCTCAAAGTTTTGGGCATTTTTTAACAAAAAAGTAATAATGTTTGTTTGCAAGTGCATTATGCATAATGCTTTAGTTAGCTTGTTTATATCTGGCAAGTAATGAGCCATAATCAATTTTAAATTGATTATAATGAATAAAATATAGGTGCTCCTATGATGAGACTGTAATGAAAAAGATCTGTACAGCATATAGGAAAAAAAAAGTTAAATACTGTACAGTACAGTTTCAATCTGCTTCATGTGAGTCAACAGCAATAATAGTAATTATAATCTGCAAATTTATTATTGATATTATAGTAGTACAGGTATACTGTTTTTCATTGGCAGTCAGTTAACCAATTCATATTTGGGAAGGCCTCCTCAGCAACTTCCTGGTGCTATTGTGCTTGTTAGCTAAGATTTAAGAATTGAACCAGGCCTCTTGAGATCCACATTGAACCATTGGGAGCCAGGACCATAATCTGGCTCTCTGTGAGGTGAAGCATTAGAGATCTAACCAAAACTAAGAAAACAAACCAGAAAGATTAGCCAAGTTTAATTATAACAGGCTTCATGTCCCTGACAACTAGGATTATTAAATTATAATGTGGCTATCACCAGATGGTTGTCAAAGTCACTATGGTCCTGCTTCATTCTCTCGCCAATGTATAGTGTAGCTTAGGTCCAACAGCTTCAGCAGGAAACCCTATGCTGCTTTCTTATTTAGCTAAGTCGTGTTGGTTTCCTCAGGAAATTAGCTCTGTGCTGGGCCATTGCCATGTTTTGTTTAATTTATGCTTCATGATTGTGTTTAATACCACCCTCATTGTGCATTCTCTGGCGTTTATTTCGCTCATGCTTTTGGCTAGGGTTTCATTTCCTAGTGGTTTGCTTGTGTATTTGTTTTGCTCCACCAGAGATATCTTTTCTGAGAGGTTTAGTCTTTATCTCTTGAGTCGGCTCCTATCGAGACACCTTGCTTTTGAGTACAGTACTGTACTGTCGATCTATAGAGTAATAGTATGCACACAAGAAATGTAACACAGTAAATATGTTTGCATAATGAGATAATCTTCCATCTTATACACAAACATACCATGTTTGTTTTTTCTTAGGAGAAAGAGGCCCAGGCAGTGCTGCTCAGGAAATGATAGAAGTTAACCCACAAGAAATGAGAAGAAAACGAGAACGTGAAAATAGAAAAAAGTTGACTGGTCTTTTGGAAAAAATAGAAGGATGCTCAGTAAGTATTTTATATATATTTCATGTTTTAATTTTGACCTCTCTTTAGTGCTTGTAAAAATACATGTGTTTCAGTATTCCAACATTGTAATTAAATGCAAGTTCTGTACTTTTCAATTACTGTTTGACTTGTTGTTCAAATACAATACATTTTTCTTGAACGTTCCACTTTTCCAGTGGAAAAATGTTCACGAAAAGCTCCGAATGTCTGTTTGGTTTCTCAAGTACAGTTTAACCCCCCTGCACTGCACTGTATAGAGATATCTTAATTGCTGGGTGGTGTGTTGACCAAGATATGTAGTTTTTAGGTATAGGGAATGATTGAAAACTCCTGTGGGTACACAGGGCTCGCGTCCTGTTCCTCAGGACTCCAGTTAACAGACGGCATCTTGAAAAAAGATTTTCTGCATCTCTCTTAGCTGTGAATGGCTGTAGTAAAAAATATCAAACATTATAATTAAAGGCCCTTTTCTATCTTTTAAAGAGCATAGAGGACTGAATATCATCCCTGATTGGTTACTAAAGAAAACGTCTAGTTATTTTGTTCCATAAATGTCATCTACTAGTACTGTATGCAGAAAGGAGTTCATTAATCCTTGTAATATAGCCTAGGTTTTATTGAATATAAAGCGCGGGCAAAATTGTATTGCATTTATAGTTCTCTTGTATTTTTTATAAGGATGATTTTGGGCAGATTTACTAGATTGTAACTTTTTTATAAATGGTAAACTTATGTATTGAAATTCTCTGAATATCTTTACTTTATATAAGTGTAAATTTTGTCTTTAACTTTATTATTATTATTGTTTTACAGCATGTGATGGAGGTAGAGGATCGCTACCTAGTGTATGATGGTGACTTGGTAGAGCTCAACCAAGATGATTACTCTGCCGAGCAGAGAATTCATTGTTATCTACTGAATGACTCATTGATGATTGCTTCTTGGCTTAGTGATAGGTGAGTAGCACAGTATTGCAATGCACATGTTAATAAAATAGTAGCTTCTTGTATTTTGTAAAAATCCCAATAGTATCTTGATGGCATTTTATTTAGTTTAATGCAAACTTTTGAATTAATTATTAGTTAAATTTAAATTGTATTGAAACAAAATTAATAAATTTTTAGTTGATATTTTAATACTAACTGAACAGAATTACTTCAAATTGTGGTATAAAATCATATACATTACAGATTTGTTTGGATTTATGCAGCTCCCTGATACAGTAATTGATTTTGGAATAAGCTTTCTGAGCAAGATTCCCTCAGCTCTTCTGAGCCCCACAAAGACAAATTGCCTTTCAAATACAACAGTCTAATCCTGTAGTTTAGGGGTAAGGAGCACAGTGGAGAGCATTTCTAAATTAACCACCAAGTGAAACGACTTGCTTTAACATTAAAGAGCATCTCAAACCACTGAACATCCCTTCCAAATGATCCTTATGACTCTTAGATAGGCAAGTATTGCTCTGGAACTATGAACTACCTATTACCCTGACTGTTACCTGCCAGGCAACAGCACCAGTGAGACAACTGGGGTCAGGAGGTAACTATCTACATTTTGTGCCTAGTATCCATTTATGTTGCCAGGGCAGCTCTGTAGAGATAGATTATTTTTGGCTGGTTTCCCACATTTTTGTGGGAATCCCCTTGTGCTTCCCCCCAGCTATCACTGAGTGTGCCAACTACTAGGTTGCATCAACCATAGAGTTCTATAGGGCCTACCAGGGACCAAGAGAGCCAGTACCTGGATTACTGGAACAGATTAATTCACTTGACATTATTTCTTATGGGAAAATTTGTTTCGGTTTGCAAATTTTTGGTTTACGAGCCGTCTCTGGGAACGGATTGAATTCGAAAACCAACGTACCATTGTATATAGATTTATGAGCTTACTGTAAAACTTTTTTTTACTGTTTATTCTAAATAGAAAATAACAATTATGTACTATCTTTAAACCTACATCTTCCTTGTATTTTAACTTTAAATACAAAATAAAAAGTGTGGGACTACACTTGCGTTTCAACTTTAGCCAATACCTATGTTGACTTCAGTGCAACACAAGCAGGAGGAGCTGCCAATCACCGGGAAGTCACGTAAATACAGAGACCTTTAGCACCACTACAATTTTGTCCCCATTGCCTCAGAGACACTTGGTGCCTGGGGTAAAAGTGCTGCTAGCTTTTTGAAGAAGTTTGGGTCTAAGCTAATCGAAACAGCTAGAGACCCTAGAGCTGCCAGTTTTCTTTTTCAGCGCCTTAGTGTGGCAATCCAGAGAGGAAATGCTCACTGCATCCATGGTTCCTGCCCGGCATCTGAGGAGCTGGAGGAGCTGCTCAACTTGTGACAAGCAGCCTTGTACCCTGCATGTAATCAATATTGTAAATTTTTTTGTGTAATGACATTTTCAAATAAAGTTAGATAAATATACACGCATACCAAAAGAATAGGGGTGGTAGGAGAAGAAAATATCAAAGTGTTCAGTGAGGATCCACAAGTTCTTCTCTGAGTACTCTTTATTTTCTTCTCCGAGGCTATGGGTCCCTACACTTGCACCAGAGGTGGTACCCCTTCTAGGTTTAAAAAAAAAAAAAAAAAGTATAATGAACAAAAAAAAAATTGGTACGTGTCTGTTTATTATTTATCTCATAAATGAACATGGCACGTTTTTTTAATTTTCTTGTTTCTTAACCTTCGATCCTGGCTACACCACTGATTGTGTGATAGATGATTTGAATGGTAAAGTAAGAATTTAATCCTGAGAATGACAGTGCATTGTAATGGTGTCCCAGGAATAAATAAAAATGGCATCATATTGAAAAATATGTTATGAAAGGTAATTATGTACTAAGATATATTTTAAACATACTGTACATAGATATGCATGGTACAGCTAACATGCATAATTATAATTTCTCTGCTTTCCACTTTCAGATGAAAGTAAAAGTGAGTTATACCAGTATAATAAATAAAATTTTATTCTTTTATATGACACTGTAAATTTTGCATAAGAGAGCAACCAAATGCTGCTGCTCAAAGAAGTGCCTTTCATATTTAGCTAAAAAGTTTGTTTTGTTTTGTTTTAGACGTGGCCCAGTTCGTTACAAGTTTGAAGTCTTGTACCCTCTTGATCAAGTACTACCAGTAAATATTAAAGATCGAGGTAATACCAAAAATGCTTTCAAGGTATTAATCTTCCCTGATACACGAGTCTTTATGGCACCAACGGCGAAGTCTAAGGTAAGAACGATCAATTGACCCGAGTGTGAATGTTTGCCAATTAATGTAATTAATCTGTGGCTGGTTATTATAATTTTTGTCTGTGCTTGTAGCCTGTCTAGAGGCTAGTCTTCCCTGATATTTGTCTGATAATCCTGGTTATTACTTGTGGCCTACAAACATAAACAGCAATAACAGCCAGTCTGATTTGGTATTACCTGCAGGAGAACATTTGAGTCCCCACTTAAAGGCCTTTAGCCTTGCTCCAGTAATATTTTTTGTACAGACATCCATTGCTATGCATGATTCTGTTATGTACAAAATTTGCTAAACATGAGCCCTGCATTTCTCCTGTTGGATGTAGCATAGCTTTCACCCTCAGGTATAAACTGATTGTCAGGTGTGGATGTCAGTTCTGTTCATGCCTTAGTCTTGGGGGTAAAAGTATATGACTCCTGCCAAACTTAGGGTTTGTGCTCTGAAATATCAGCACATAGTCCCAATTCTCAGGTGATGTGGGTATTTTGAAAGATCTGCTTTATATTTAGAAGAATTTGGCCTTTCTGATTCAGTTAACTGTGGATCTTAACTGCAGGATTGGTTGGGTATTGGTTATTTTCCAGTTCAGTGCACTTTGGTAGTGACCAGAAGTAACGCAGATTCCCATCCTGTCGCTTTGGCTGCGAAACCTGAATGACATCCCTCTTTGCTTATGTGGGTGTTGGTGGTGGAGGGATGGTTATAAGCAGAATCTTTAGAGCCTCCCAAGAGTGTTTGGAAAGCTTGAGCCTCAGCCAGAGCTGTCTCCTCCCTCTTATGAATAGGGGTATTTGACTTTTTCTCCCAAAGAAAAATGAGCACAGCATAGTTCATTTTGTAAACATTGCAAAGTGTAAAAATAATTGTTGTTATTATAACTGTTCATAAGGTATATAATACAGTGTTCGCTGTTATTATATGCTTTGTATCCACTAGGATGGTACTATACATTTAATTTTAAATGTATACAAATTTATAAATAAATTATTTTATCATTTTTGTATTATGCAAAAGTTCTCCATTTTTTCACCTTAATTATGGAAATATGAATATTCTATTCAATAATATTGACTAGCCATTGTTTGTTCTATGTACATAGATGATTGCACAACAATGTACAATTTTGTATTATGAAGCTAATATCAGTATCTCCAAGATTATTTATATTTTCTTGAAGGTCCTCACAATAGCACCCTGTTCCAGGGAGCTGCTGAGGGCCAACATGATAGGATGTTTCATTATGTTCAATACTGTACTTGATTATTATTTTATGTTTTTATATGGTTTGCATAAATTTGAATACTGTACTCTGTTGTACAGATCTCATTATTATAAGTTAAGACTGTTTTGTACTATTCAGCCTGCATTATTTAGTACTGCATTAATGTTTTGTACACAAGTTTCTGAGCAAATTTTAATGTTTTAATTATGCAATACTATATAATGGATGATTTTCCATTTCTTTTAGCAAGATTGGCTTGACGAAATCGAACGCACGAAAGCTAACAAAGTAACAGTTGATAAGCAAAAGGTGGAACGTGCTCATTTACACCAAAAGGAACGACAGCAGTCCCTTAGTAAAGAGGATTCCCTAGACAGCAATAATCGTAAGTAATGTGACAATACCTTGTGACGAGGCCCATCAGATGCTCTTAGCCAGAGCCCAGGTGATCCCCCCAGGGCTTGTGTCATACCACCAGGTTCTCTTTGACCTTGAATAAGAATTTAAAAAAAGGGTTGTGCCATGGTATTGGGGATTGAAGACAGTGGCAAGTTTTAACTCAAGCTACCAACTCAGGACCAGCTTCTGCAGTTAGAAACATTTTCTCATCAATTAATTTGTGTATGTTAATGATGTAATTATTAGTGATGGGGATAATTAATCGGAATCGGTATCAAGAATTGGAAGACTAGTATTTTTCAGTAATTGGTATCAGATTTGAGAGAAATTTATCATGATTTAATGATTCTTTAACTCTTAACCCTTAAAGTGCGCATCACGTCATATGACGTGCTGGACGTTGTTCCAGTAAACTGCGCATCACGTCATATGATGTGTTGGAGTACTACGCAAGATTTAAACAGCCTGCGGATACACGGGGTTCACCACACCTTCATCAGGGCTCTTGTAAACAGACGCCATTTTAAAAAAAAATCGTGGACCAATCTCCCGGGTGTTATTGGCCTCAGTATTGAGTGAGCAACCATGCCTGACGCACGCAGCATGAGCTAACAGCACTGCTGTTCAGCTTGTGACCACAGCATCGCCTAAAAATGCCAAATTATACTTGTTCATGCTATTATGTAGCGATGATATTACTACAGAAGACCCCTGACTGTGATAAAACTGACTAGGGTTCTGATAATAGCAAGATTGTAGTGATATTTAGCGCTGTGCGCCATGGAAGGAGGTGTAATGCTGTGGGAGGGAGGGTGGTGGCGATGTCTTTTGACTGTGTGTGGCCACCTTTTATTGACTGCACTCACCATACCAGCTTAGTGGTTCGCTATGGTGAACACAAATGTAGATACTTATATATAACGTGCGTATAGAGGGTATAAACAGCAAGAGAAGGTTTGGAGCTGCCATTTTGGTGAGGGCGGTGGCGTCGTCTGCACGACGCCACCGTGCAGACGATGGTGTTGTTTACTGGTTACCACGATGGTCTTTGGGCACCATACCAGTTTATTTGTACAAGTATGATGAATAAAACAGGTAGATATTTATGTATAATGTGTGTATATAGCGTAATAACACCACACAGTATTGTTGGAGGAGAAATATTAGTGCGTCTGGCCTTGAGGGCGGCCGCCGATCAGCTGACTGTGTGAGTAGCCACATCTCTGTGCCTTTACTCACCATACAAGCTTAGATGTACAGTTAAGGTGAACAAAACATGTAGATACTTATATATAATGTCTGTATATAGTGAATTATAGCAAAAATATTATTGTGGGAGAAGAATGAGGGTGAGTCAGATGACTGGAGGGAGAGCGGGAGTGGCTGGCTGGTACACGGCGGTCACTCCTCATTACTTTTTGACTCATAATAGCTACTTAGTGGTTCGTTATAGTGTACAAAACATGCAAATACTTATATATAACCTGTGCTTATAGTGTAATAACCGACAAAGTATTTGTTCACTGATTGATGAACATAATTGAACCAACAATATGCACACCATATTTTTGAGTACAGCAATGATTCACTCATTTTATTGAATCTAGTCAAGCACTCGTTGATGTATAATCCCTTCCGTTGGGATGCAGCTGTCCGGACTAGATGGGATTTCGTGAACTGGGAAGACAGCTTCAGGCGGATTTTCCGCTGGTTTTGACCTGATGGATTCTTTTTGCCTACTCTGTAGGCAGCAATAACGTCAGATTTGTTTAGAATGAGCTGCAATTTGTTTTTTAAGAGATCCTGAGCTATTACGACACAATTTTCACCTTCATGTTCCACACCTTCATTTATTTATTATATAAATATATCAAACTGCACACTATTGAATAATATTACAGCAAAAAAAGTATGAAAAATCAATCAGAGACATTGAAATAATTCGGTAATTATCTCTTTGTGGCAACTCTGGCCTGACAGCTTGCGAGCAACAGACCGCCTGGGACGCACGCTGAGTCAGCGCCTATAATTTTCCAGACTTCCCCGCCCTATAGCGGGCAATATATGCCACTTACGATATTTTTATTATTTTTCCCGTGATCAGTGAACACAAATTAACAGGTTAGAAAGAAAAAATAATTTTTTTTTTTTTCAAAATGACATGCGCCTGTGGGGATGACAGGATATTAAACCCCGAGCATGTTAAGGGTTAAAGTGCGCATCACATCATATGATGTGTTGGAGTACTACGCAAGATTTAAACGGCCCGCGGATACACGGGGTTCACCACACCTTCATCAGGGCTCTTGTAAACAGACACCATTTTTTTAAAAAATCGTGGGCCAAACTCCCGGGTGTTATTGGCCTCAGTATTGAGTGAGCAACCAAGCCTGACGCACGCAGCATGAGCTAACAGCACTGCTGTTCAGCTTGTGATCACAGCATCCCCTAAAAATGCCAAAATATACTTGTTCATGCTATTATGTAGCGATGATATTATTACAGAAGACCCCTGACTGTGATAAAACTGACAAGGTTCTGATAATAGCAGGATTGTGGTGATATTTAGCGCTGTGCGCCATGGAGGGAGGAGTAATGCTGTGGGAAGGAGAGTGGTGGCGATGTCTTCTGACTGTGTGTGGCCACCTTTTATTGACTACACTCACCATACCAGCTTAGTTGTTCGCTGTGGTGAACACAAATGTAGATACTTATATATAACGTGTGTATAGAGGGTATAAAAAGCAAGAGAAGGTTGGGAGCCGCCATTTTGGTGAGGGCGGTGGCGTCGTCAGCACGACGCCACCGTGCAGACGATGGTGTTGTTTACTGGTTACCACGATTGTCTTTGGGCACCATACCAGTTTATTTGTACAAGTATGGTGAATAAAACAGGTAGATATTTATGTATAATGTGTGTACAGTATATAGCGTAATAACACCACACAGTATTGTTGGAGGAGAAATAATAGTGCGTCTGGCCTTGAGGGCGGCAGCCATCAGCTGACTGTGTGAGGTCCTACGTCTTTGTGCCTTTACTCACCATACAAGCTTAGAATGTACAGTTATGGTGAACAAAACATGTAGATACTTATATATAACGTCTGTATATAGTGAATTATAGCAAAAACAGCATTGTGGGAGGAGAATGTGGGTGAGTCAGATGACTTGAGGGAGGGCGGGAGTGGCTGGCTGGTACACGGCGGTCACTCCTCGTTACTTTTTGACTCATAATAGCTACTTAGTGGTTCGTTATAGTGAAGCCCTAGAAGAAAAGCAAAATGCAGATGTTGTATACACAGACTTTGCAAAGGCGTTCGACAAATGTGACCATGGGGTGATAGCTCACAAAATGAGGTCAATGGGAATAACTGGAAAAGTAGGACGCTGGATACTCAATTTCCTGTCGAACAGAACACAAAGAGTAACAGTCAATCAGATAAAATCGAGTCCAAGCGATGTTAAAAGCTCTGTACCTCAAGGTACAGTCCTTGCACCGCTACTGTTCCTTATTCTCATATCTGATATAGACAAAAATACACGCCACAGCTTCGTGCCGTCCTTTGCAGATGACACAAAAATCAGCATGAAAATTACCTCTGCTGAAGACATTGAAAAACTACAAGCAGATGTCAACAAAGTTTTTGATTGGGCAGCAGAAAATAACATGATGTTTAACAGTGATAAATTTCAGGTACTCAGGTACGGCAAAAATGAGGATCTGAAACATAATACAGGGTACAAAACACAATCGAATCTTCCCATAGTAGAAAAACAGCATGTCAAGGATTTGGGAATAATGATGTCCGACGATCTAACGTTTAGGGAGCATAACCAAGCAAATATCGCATCAGCCAGAAAAATGATCGGATGGATTACGAGAACTTTCAAATCCAGGGATCCCGTCACAATGGTTGTACTCTTCAAGTCACTTGTGTTGTCCCGTCTTGAGTACTGCTCAGTACTCACTTCCCCCTTCAGAGCAGGAGAGATTGCTGAAATAGAGGGAATACAGAGAACATATACGGCACGCATAGACGCGATAAAACACCTAAATTATTGGGATCGTCTCAAAGCTCTCCAAATGTACTCTCTAGAAAGGAGACGAGAGAGATACCAAATAATATACACATGGAAAATACTGGAGGGTCAGGTCCCAAATCTACACAGTAAAATAACAACGTACTGGAGTGAACGATATGGAAGAAAATGCAAGATTGAACCTGTGAAGAGCAGAGGTGCCATAGGCACAATCAGAGAGCACTGTATAAACATCAGGGGTCCGCGGTTGTTCAACGTCCTCCCAGCGAGCATAAGAAATATTGCCGGAACAACCGTGGACATCTTCAAGAGAAAACTGGACGATTTTCTAAGAGAAGTTCCGGATCAGCCGGGCTGTGGTGGGTACGTGGCCCTGCGGGCCGCTCCAAGCAACAGCCTGGTGGACCAAACTCTCACAAGTCGAGCCTGGCCTCGGGCCGGGCTTGGGGAGTAGAAGAACTCCCAGAACCCCATCAACCAGGTATCAACCAGGTTTGCATAAATTTGAATACTGTACTCTGTTGTACAGATCTCATTATTATAAGTTAAGACTGTTTTGAACTATTCAGCCTGCATTATTTAGTACTGCATTAATGTTTTGTACACAAGTTTCTGAGCAAATTTTAATGTTTTAATTATGCAATACTATATAATGGATGATTTTCCATTTCTTTTAGCAAGATTGGCTTGACGAAATCGAACGCACGAAAGCTAACAAAGTAACAGTTGATAAGCAAAAGGTGGAACGTGCTCATTTACACCAAAAGGAACGACAGCAGTCCCTTAGTAAAGAGGATTCCCTAGACAGCAATAATCGTAAGTAATGTGACAATACCTTGTGACGAGGCCCATCAGATGCTCTTAGCCAGAGCCCAGGTGATCCCCCAGGGCTTGTGTCATACCACCAGGTTCTCTTTGACCTTGAATAAGAATTTAAAAAAAGGGTTGTGCCATGGTATTGGGGATTGAAGACAGTGGCAAGTTTTAACTCAAGCTACCAACTCAGGACCAGCTTCTGCAGTTAGAAACATTTTCTCATCAATTAATTTGTGTATGTTAATGATGTAATTATTAGTGATGGGGATAATTAATCGGAATCGGTATCAAGAATTGGAAGACTAGTATTTTTCAGTAATTGGTATCAGATTTGAGAGAAATTTATCATGATTTATGATTCTTTAACCCTTAAAGTGCGCATCACATCATATGACGTGTTGGAGTACTACGCAAGATTTAAACGGCCCGCGGATACACGGGGTTCACCACACCTTCATCAGGGCTCTTGTAAACAGACACCATTTTAAAAAAAAATCGTGGGCCAAACTCCCGGGTGTTATTGGCCTCAGTATTGAGTGAGCAACCAAGCCTGACGCACGCAGCATGAGCTAACAGCACTGCTGTTCAGCTTGTGATCACAGCATCGCCTAAAAATGCCAAAATATACTTGTTCATGCTATTATGTAGCGATATTATTACAGAAGACCCCTGACTGTGATAAAACTGACCAGGGTTCTGATAATAGCAGGATTGTCGTGATATTTAGCGCTGTGCGCCATGGAGGGAGGAGTAATGCTGTGGGAAGGAGAGTGGTGGCGATGTCTTCTGACTGTGTGTGGCCACCTTTTATTGACTACACTCACCATACCAGCTTAGTTGTTCGCTGTGGTGAACACAAATGTAGATACTTATATATAACGTGTGTATAGAGGGTATAAAAAGCAAAAGAAGGTTGGGAGCCGCCATTTTGGTGAGGGCGGTGGCGTCGTCTGCACGACGCCACCATGCAGACGATGGTGTTGTTTACTGGTTACCACGATGGTCTTTGGGCACCATACCAGTTTATTTGTACAAGTATGGTGAATAAAACAGGTAGATATTTATATATAATGTGTGTACAGTATATAGCGTAATAACACCACACAGTATTGTTGGAGGAGAAATAATAGTGCGTCTGGCCTTGAGGGCGGCAGCCATCAGCTGACTGTGTGAGGTCCTACGTCTTTGTGCCTTTACTCACCATACAAGCTTAGATGTACAGTTATGGTGAACAAAACATGTAGATACTTATATATAACGTCTGTATATAGTGAATTATAGCAAAAACAGCATTGTGGGAGGAGAATGTGGGTGAGTCAGATGACTTGAGGGAGGGCGGGAGTGGCTGGCTGGTACACGGCGGTCACTCCTCGTTACTTTTTGACTCATAATAGCTACTTAGTGGTTCGTTATAGTGAACAAAACATGCAGATACTTATATATAACCTGTGCTTATAGTGTAATAACTGCCAAAGTATTTGTTCACTGATTGATGAACATAATTGAATCAACAATATGCACACCATATTTTTGAGTACAGCAATGATTCACTCATTTTATTATATAAATATATCAAACTACACACTATTGAATAATATTACAGCAAAAAACTATGAAAAATCAATCAGAGACATTGAAATAATTAGGTAATTATCTCTTTGTGGCAACACCGGCCTGACAGCTGGCAAGCAACAGACCACCTGGGACGCACGCTGAGTCAGCGCCTATTTTTTGCCAGATTTCCCCGCCCTATAGCGGGCAATATATGCCACTTACGATTTTTTTATTATTTTTCCCGTGATCAGTGAACACAAACTAACAGGTTAGGAAGAAAAAATAATTTTTTTTTTTTTCAAAATTACATGCACCTGTGGGGAAGAAAGAATATTATACCCCTAGCATGTTAAGGGTTAAACAGGTCTAACATCGATTAACAAAATTAATTGTTTGCCTTGGGTAATGATTAAAATGATTTAAGTTATCATTAAGAATGAAGTACAGTACTATAGGCTCCTAAAAGAAACAGAATGCAAGCAGGAACAGGGTAGATGTCCATAATTCGATATTTTAATTTAGGTCTTGCGTTTCAACTGTGCCCAGAAATTGACATTTCATTACATTCAACACTGGTTTTTTTGCTTGTGTATTTCATTACTAAATGTGTATCCAAGTACAATGGGGCCTCGACTTACGATGCTAATCCGTTCCCAGAGACGGATCGTAAGTCGAAATATTGTAAGTCGAAGCGGTTTTCCCATAAGAAATAAAGGAAATTGAATTAATCCGTTCCCCACCCTCCAAAATATTAACATACAAATACATTTTATACTGAATACAATGTTTTTTTCTAACTACAATACAGTACCAAAGTTTATCTTACCTTTATGGAGGACTCTTGATGACGTATGGAAGATGGTGATGAGGGGGTAGGAGTAGAGTTGTTACTGTATGGAAGGGGAGTCCCCTTCCATTATAATATCAGGCATTAATGTTTTCTCTGGGGTACTCTCTCTCCTACGTTTTGCCTGAATACCACTAGGACCTGGTTGTGGTTCAGTGCTTGTTTGTCTCGCTACAAATTTGTCAAGAGAGATTTGTTTTTCCCTTCGTTTTAACATTTGTCTGTAATGATGCATCACAGTGTCATTGAATAGGTTAAAGCAACGACCTACTGCAGCTTGATTTGGGCGAGTCGTTTCAGCAAAGGTTTGCAATTCTTCCCATGCTGCACACATTTTCTTAATTGTTGAGGAAGAGACATTCTGTACTCTTGTTTCTGCTCTATGGTCATCCTTACATGGGTTTTCATATGTTGAGCCTTACCACTGACTTTCCTGGGACTCATAGCGTGATATATAATAATTACTTTAATGTTCAAAATGCAAAAAATCACCACAAAAGCGGAATTTCTTATAGGCGCGATCGTCACTAAGCGGGCAGCTGTAGTAAACTGAGGCAGGTTGGCTGCGTGACTGGGTCAACCACGCGCTCGGTTGACCCGAACGTGTACCAACAAATATAGGAAGTCGAGTCGCATTTTTCGATGAAATTTACATCATAACTCAAAATTATCGTAAGTAGGGGCAATCGTATGTCGAGGTGCCACTGTACAATAAAATTTTTATTCACTTTCTACATTCGTTGCCAATATTTTTGTAGGAAAATATTTTATATATCTTGCTCTTTTTTATAATTATAAGCCAATTTGTGTAATTATACATATATATTTTTGGCTATATTTTGTTACGAGTTTATTTCTAATTTCAGTTATGTGTAATCACATCCTGAATTCATTAATGATAATACTGTAGGATAATATTTAATTTATTTGTATTATTTACATAATCATACAAAGATTTTGGTAATTCTGCAATTTTTTTATGAATGAATATATGGAAGCTACTGAAGTGCTGTGCAGAAAGTGATGCTCCATTACACTCAATGCTCTATTTTTATTAAATTTGTTGTTTGTTTATGTATATAAAAAAATCATAAAGTTTGTGGAAAACATCCATTTAGTCAGTTATTAAATACTCTGAAAATTAATGTTGATTAGTTTACCAAAATCCTTCAAAGTATAGTTGTTATTTAATGTCATGGTAGCTCGTTTTACCTAAAATAGAACAATACACATTGTCAATTATATATGATTACAGATGTGGAGTTCCAAGCAAGCACATGTTCCAAGCAATCGTACTACTTCAGGCAAAATTTATAAATTCCTATCCATGCACACAGTCCATTGTGTATATTGGTCAATAGCTTATGTTGGTAATGTTAGACATGCTGTTGTTGCAGCAGGCTATTGAGGTCAACAATACGAAGAAATAACAACATCTTTTATTGTTTGTTTTGATGAATTGGATTTAAAGAACTAGATTGTGCATTATCTTATGAATTTCCTATATAATATATGGTGTGCTTGGAAAGGGCTTTACAAATTTAGATTTACTGTATCATTTAACTAAAATTTGCTCTAAAAATTACAACCATGCAGTACACATAAATGGTTAAATTTGTTTGCATATAGCTTATTGTGGTCCAGATTATCAATGTTTTATTTATTACAGCATTTGGTGAAGATGATGACAGCCTCAATCCCTTCCAAGAATCACAGCCACCTTCCATGGGACCACCTGAATGGGTGTTAGAATTACCAGAAGAACTGGATCAAGCCATTGCCCAACGTAACTTTGAGGACGCTGTGAGTCTCATAGATAATGGCCGTGAATATTTTGACATGGCTCCCAAAACACCAGCTTACAGTGAGATGAGGTAAGAGGAGGAAATATGAGCAGAGCTATTTACACTTTACATATTACCACAACAGCAGTTCCCCTTCTGCTCCCCACCACCACAGCATCTGCTGTAATCACCTAGTTGTGCTTGTGGGTTTGAGCTCTGCTCTTTGCTCCACTTTGGTCTTTGTGCTGTGCTGACCAATATTGCTGACCAAAATTGGAATATGCAGCACTTGTATAAAGATGTACATTGACCACAACACAGCAGTTGCAACATCAGGATCTGCGGGTTGGTATAAGAATTCAACCAACCATGAATCACCTAGTGTGATGAAAAGGAGCAGTAGAACAACAGAAGTACATTTACATTGCATCAGGCTTGGATACCCTTGTGCATGGGAAATAGGCTACAGGTTCCGGAAGATGAGAGGAAATGTCAGCACTGTGGAGAAATGCCCGACAGACCACTGGAACATTATCTAACACATTGCAGAGTTACAAACCCATTAAGATTTCAACTTAGATTCAACAGAGCAGAAGTTGTTAAACACATGGGACAAAATCTTACTGAAGCGACCATATGAGTCATAAATATTCGTACTCCGCCCAAGTAAAACAGAAACATGCAACACTTAGTGGGCCAGCCAGAGGCTTAGGGCCCGTGCAGGAATATCCCTGCAAAAAAACAAAAAAACAAAAAAAAACACTTGTATGGTGCCCATATCTCAAGAAGCACACCAATAAACTGGAAAAGGTGCAAAAGCATGATACAAAATAGCTTCCAGATCTGAAAATCAAGGGTTATGAAGAAAGGCTAGTGATGTTAAATATGCTAAAACTAGAAAATAGAAGAAGAAGAGGCTATGTGACTGCCACTTACAAAATAATAGCAGGAATTTACCATATTGACAGAGGAATTCCTGAAACCATCAGCCTCAAGAACAAGAGGTCATGGATTCAAGCTAAGGAAACAAAGGTGTCGAAAAAATATTCTTTTGCAAGCAGAGCTGTAGACGGATGGAACAGATTAAGTGAGAAAGTAGTGGAGGCCAAAAACATCAATAGTTTCAAAGCGTTATATGACAGTGTGCTGGGAAGATGGGACATCACAAGTGTAGTTCTCATCCTGTAACTACACTTGGATAATTACACCACCACTTCCACCCAACCTTTCACAGTTCTTCCAACCAGTAAAAATTTACATATTCATTACACGTTGAGGGTTAATCATCATGATACCAATTAAAGCAGTAATTTCAAATACATGATCACTAATACATAGGATATAGATTTCCTCATGTTAAATTGTTTAGCTACATATGGTATCACTGGATGGTCCTCATGGCATAGCTTTACATTTTTTCCCAAGCACTCCAAACACTTTCAAGCATTAGAGACAACCAATCAGTATAAATTAGTTATAGGATAAGATGTTTACATTTCTGTACAAAACAGAAATTCCAGAGATGCTCACCAAGAGCTGTGCATCCAGTGCATTATTCCATGTGGAAAGTTTTGTTTTTATTATTAATATTAGACTACTGTATATGGCACATTAAAAAGTAGCGGTCTCCAAGAATGTCTCAGCCTTGAACTCTATAATGTTCATAATTAAAATGTTACATAGTGATGCAGTATACTGTACTGTAATTAGATAGAGCAAAGCTGTTGTATAAATATGTCTAGAGCAGAGTTAGTCAGATGCAAAATTTTGGAATAACAAACTACAGCACCATGTTTTCTGAATTATATTATCCAACAAATATTTTTCAGACGTGCTCTTGAAGGTCGAGTACGATGCTTGGTCGATGTCCTGCAGGCTGAGTTACGGGTAACACCAGAAAAGTCTCTCCAAGGTGGACCACGTGCTGCACGTCGAGCCACAACATTACTTGTCCATCTCAACAAGTCAAGTCAAGTAAGAGTCGTACTGTTCTAATGTTTCGTAACTATTGGTTGTTTTGTTAGTACGGTACAGTACTAACTATATTGTAAATATATCACTTCTATGAATTGTTAAATGGCCACAATTTAAATTATGGTAATGTTGGTAATCAGATAGTTTGTAATGTAACATTATTTGAAAGAATTCAGATAGACCTATATTGTTTTAATATCATAAAACTATGTGGATGTGTGTTCAGTGTTTGTCATAAATTTCTCTGTTTACCCAAGCATTAAGTATTAAATATGAAACAATTACCAAATCAATCTGAATTGCGGCTAGTGGCGTTAACATAATTATCTGTTAACATAATCATATGGGTTCTGTAATCATCTACGTAGTGCCAGCTTGGTCTCGTATCGGCTGTCATGGATGGTAGGTTTTGTGAATACGTATATTTCTATAGTTCATTGTAATTGTGTTTGTGTATGTTCAGTGACCTTTAGTAAATGCAATATGATATTGGGCCAAGTTAAGTGAAACTATATCACAAAATACTTAAAATGTGATGTTATGCTTTGTGCTAAGTGAGGGAGCAGCAGTGTGATGCACCCATGGGCATGTCATGAGGCATATGGATCTGGACCTGCAGTGACTCAGCCAAGTGATCAGTGTATTAGCTTCTCCATGAGTGTGTGTGTATCTGTATCAGATGCTTCTTGGTTGTGAGAACTTCTTTCGGCACTATGGGTATCAGTTGTCTTGTGTAAAGTGTATGCAAATAAGCCCATAGCTCCATCTCTCATAACTTCTTCATTCTATTTGATTTCATGTAAATTTTAAAGTTATTAGGTTATTATAAAGGACATTAGTGTTGCTTTAAAATATTGAAGCCTTGTTTCTAAATATAAATTTAATCTTGCTGAAATCCTATGTTCAGGACTTCATTGAGCTATTCCTGTTGCATGGTCCCATCAACTCCTCCTTTTGTTAAGCAACTACTATGATTTCTTGGATTAAGAGACATTGCACATGGACTTCTTGTTCTTTCTGTGGAGGGTGGCTATTTAAATTGAAATTGACATTGGACAAAGTTCTTTGATAAAATGTATGTAATACGATCACTGAGATTACACAGGGAATAGATGAGTGTGCAGATTTGATTTAACTAGGCTTCAAGAAAGCACTTAACAGTGTCTCCAACAAAGATTGAATGTGGAAAATAAATCACAGAGGCATAACTGGTGTACAATATTTCTGCAGTGAATGAACGGTTATTTATTAATAGCACAAATGAAATTAAGATTGTAAAAACGGATTGTGGAGGGCTTCATAAGTTCCTTAATGTTACCCTGCTGTGCACAGAGCCATTTAGCAAACTTTTTCTGTTAGGTGATTGAGGTTTGAAGTTCTTCCTTGATCCATGTCAAGGAAGGTGTGTTGGATAATAAGTATGTAGCAAACATACTGCCCATGCTTGGCTCATCTTCAGGTGGATTTAATAGGCTCTTATCAAGAAATAAAGCCACTTTTAGGGGGGTAGAAATAGACTAAGCTACTCTATCCCTTTGAGATGTATTTCTTTCTTATCTCAATAAACATACTTGAACTTGAAAGCTACTTTGCTGTTCTCTGGCAAACCAACACTTTTAAAGTGGTCCTTTCCCCTCTTGTGCAAAATTACTTTCAAAGCTTAACAACTCATGGTTACCTTATCTGCCATGTCCTGTTTTGAGATGGAAGTACATAGTTTCTGGAAAACTATCTGCATGTTTGTAGAGCATTACTTTCCCAAGATTCCTTGCCTAGCCCTCCAGATTCTTCCTTTCCCCAGTAATGACTTGGTGAAGGAGTTTGAAAAAATCACAGCCATGTTGCGGACGAGAATATTGCCCTGGACTAATTGGAGTCTGCTTTGTTTTGGGAAAGTAGAACTTGTCTCTGGGAGTGACTTAATATTGAAAATATTCATTATTTAAATCATAAAGTTTGTGTTTTCTGTTGAGAAGAATATGAGAAAACCTTTTTAAAAATATGAACAATCCATAATAAGTAATAAGGAAAATAACTCTGTGGAAGTAATTTGTTAGATGAGAATAATTTATTCATACTTTATTTGACAATTGACATAAGTTTTCATACACAGTCCTTAAAGCTGCTGAGGTACTGTTAAAGGATTTTTGTTATTCTTTGATAACAAATTCTCTGCACTGCTGTGATGTGTGAAGAAGGTACTATAGTGTACTGTTGTATAAATGTCCAGGTATCACTCCAAATATCTTTACAGACTTTTTCCACTTTACATATCCATCCTTTCTGGGCAAGTACATAAAAAAATTGAAAATGGAACATGCGAGTTATGATGATCATCATTTTATATTAACGAATTACTGTTTATTTTTACAGGCTTGTGAATTGTTTTTGGGACACCGAGGGGCCATCCTGAAGGCAGGCCTTAAACGCTTAAGGTTGGAAGGAAAGACAGTTTTGTATGTTCGACAGCTATGTTCAATTTTCTTTCACAATTTACTGGAGACTGGACGAGAATTTACTAAAGCCTTCCCATCTAATCGCAGTTGCACTTCAGGTAGTTATTATCAGCATATGTAAATAGTTTTTCTGAGCTATTCATTCCACCATTCCTATAGGTATTCCATTCTGCATGTCAAAAAGATGCACTACGTCAGTGCCTGTAGCATAATTGCACATATAAAGTTGTGGGTGTCACTGGGGTCAGTGTCCATGCAGCACTGGAATAAGCATAGGCAATCACTGTAATAAGCATAGGCAATCACTCTGTTCAGGGGCCTTAGGTCTGCTAACCTGTTTCCAGGAATGTTGCAGATGGTTGGAACAATTTAAGGGTGATAGTGGTGGAGGTCAAAACCATCAATAGTTTCAGAAACATATGACAAATATTATAGGGATGATGGGACCCCCATTAGCATAGCTCTCAAAATGTAATTACATTCAGGTAATTACATGCATGCAAACCTGCCATGTGAGGTGTTATTGAATACTGTACTTCTGCCACCAAGAAACTGCATAGCATCATAGGGTATCCAGTTTTGTTTGCAAAATGAAAGTCAAAGGTGTCTAGTTCTTCACTTTGAAAGTTTATGTACCAATAATCAGATACTGTACTTTTATTTAGTAGTGTGTTTGCAGCAAGGGTTCTGTAATCAGAAGAAGACAGTTATGCTCATTAGTTATTTGAAATGAAAACAAGTACAGATTCATATTACATAAGTTTTTCTTAAGTAGACCAGGGTGGTGTATGAACTCAAGACCTAAATGGGTTAACAAATAATCAATTCAGTCAAATAAATGAAGAATGTCTCCTGCTTCAACATGAAATCTATTTTACTGTATTCAATTGACTCTTTAGTAGAACTTGTAGATGTCAATTCATACTGTATTAATTCATGTTAATTTTTTCACAGCATTTGTGGTTTGGGCTCACAGTGAAATAAACAACTTTGCATCTATGTTCTCACGGCATGTGTTTACTACTCAGACTTCTATCACTACTGTAGCAGAATGTATCAGTCAAGCTGACCACCACTGTCAGCAGGTGAGTTACTACCAATTGGTTTTTAAAAATTTAACTTTATGCATGATAAGATTAATTGGTGAAAAGGTGATATAATTAAAGTGAAATAATAAAAGTTGAGAAGTCGAGTGAGAAAGAGAACTGGGAGAGGAATACGTAAGAGACTATAGTGATCTTGGGAAGAGAGCATGGTTGTGAATGCCAAGGAAATATGTTGAGTTGTACAAACTGGTATAAGAATGAGAAGAACTAGTGGTGTAATAAGGTAACAAGAACAGCTGATAGGAAAAGGAAGAGGATTTTTTGGATACAAATGAACAAGAAAGACAAGAAAATGGTAGTATAATGAGGATAAAAGGTATGTGTAAAGATTAGTTAAACACAAAAAATAGAATGCCTATAAGAAGATAGGAAGAAAAATCTAATATGTTATTAAGAAAATAGGAAATTTAGTGGAGAAGTACAGTGCAACATCGATTTGGTGAACCTCGTTTTGGTGAATCTCCGGTTATTTTAATAGGACTATTCTGAGGATAACAAGATATTAGAGATACATAATTACCCAAGTGTAATTACAGGACAAGATATACATGTGCTGTCTTCCTGGTATTCTTTCTTATAAAACTCTGAAACTAATGATGGCTTAGGCCTCCACCACCACCTCACTTAACTTGTTCCAACCATCTACCACTGTTTATAAAAGTGAACTTTCTTATTTTTTTCTGCAGCTTTGTTTCCTTAGTTTGAAACTTGGTCTTGTTCTTTATGTTGCAGTTTTTTGTAAATGTTTCTGTCAGTTTTGTCAATTCCTGTTACCATTTTGTTTTTAGTGATTGTCACCTCTTTTTCTTCTATCTTCTAGCTAAGTTATGTTTAATTTTGGTAGTAGAACAACTCCCAAAACCCTCTCCAGGTATAACCTCTCCTTGCAGATCTTGTTTTTCAGTCCCAGAAGTCATTTAGTTGGATATATTTTTGCACCTTTTCCAGATTATTGATTTGTTTTTTGAGATATTGGTACCATACAACTGCTGCATATTACAACTTTAGTCTCACAAAGGTTGCAAAAATTGTCATTAATATTTTGCCATCCGTGTATTTAATAGCGATTATGAAGTTGGAGATCATAGAGTACACCACTCTGTACTCTGTTATTCTCTTAAATCCATACTGTCTCTGATTCTCTGAAAACCTCATTTTGCACAATGCATATGTAAGTCAGTGATATACATATGCAGATAACTCAGTTAAATAGCAAAGAATGAAGTAGAGCCATGTAGACTTGTTAATAAATAATATAAGGTGTGTGAGAGAAGGCTTAAAAGTGAATGTGGACAAAATTAATGTGATGGAAAGAGAATTGTGTGTGATATGAATTTTAAGGATGAGGGTGTAGAACTGATCAATCATGAGAATAGGGTCTATTAGGTAAGAAAAGCGGCTGGTGTAATGGAAGCCCTAGTTAGGAAAACAATATAGGATTAGATATAGCCAGAGGTGTGCATGAAGTAGTGGTAGTGCTGACTAATGTTTGGTTATAAGGAGATGGTGTGTTATAAAGATGAGAAATCAAGGGTTAGGGCAGTATAAATAGGCAACTTGAGAATAATGGATGGTATTAAGAGACTAGATAAAGTGATGAAATGTCGTGGAGAGATGTGGAGTGCAAAAGTCAGTAAATCACAAATTAAGAGAGCTTATTTAGATGATTTTTGCATACTAATCAAATGGCTATTAGTAGATTGGCAAAGAGTGTACATTCAAGCAAAATTTAGGGTAAGAGAAGAGGAAGGGGAGCAAGAAGGTGGGTGGATAGGGTGTGGTGGGACGGGGGTGCGAGGAAAGGTAGGAACAGATGATGGGGGGGTGGGAGGGGCATGCTGGGTAATTAACGTCATCTGATGTAGCCGGGTAAAGCTACATTTTTAGTTATATAGAAATATACTAGTTTCTAAGTAAGATTTCTACTTAAAAGTATAGTTTAAAATATCTGTTTATGACGGTAGAGATAATTCACAGTAAAGAAGGGAGCAGACTTTGCCCTTACTTTTTGTAACAAACTTCTAAGATCTCTGAAATTATTTTGGCCTTAAACAAGTGTAACAGAGTGGTAAGTATATCTCCGAAAAATATTTATAAGGAAACCCGAAGTCCTAAACGGCCCATCAAAAATTTATCAGGAAACCCGATGCCCCACACTTGAATTTTTAAATTAACTGGAAACCCGACTCCCTAAATGGGAATTTAAAAAAAAAATCCCATTTAGGGTGTCATCCCTACTACCCATTCCATCAGACCCCTCCCTGGTCTGATGTTGTCACACCCCAAGAAAAAGAGAAGTGGAGTAATGATGTATGTATAGGGTATTTATGGAGTATTTATGTATGTATATCTCAAGTGTAACCTGCAATATCAACTAATGAAAATCTTGAATCTTAATATAATGTTAATCATAGCTGGCAGATATTGGTTTAGACCTGACGTTTGCTCTTCACACACTTCTGCTACGAGATGTTGAAAAGTGGATTCGTGATGGTCGTGACAAGATGGTAGAGGCAGTGAAGCTCAGAGGACAAGAAGACACATGGAAGACATTGAAGTTTGAGAACAAGGACCAGATCAATAAATTCATTGAGGACATGAATGATGTTGGAATTGCTAATATTCAGGCATACATTATGGGTAGGTAAAGATTTTCTAAGTTAAAGCATATGCAGTATATTAAAATATTAATTACTTGCAAGTCCCACAGATTTTTCTGAGCATGGCTTCCTTCATTGCTACCCGAGCCAGGGCCTGGTCTCACCCATGACAACCTTCCTGTCAAGTTGTATCAACCAGTGCCCCAAAATTACAAAGAACCAGAAGAGAATCAAACACAGGATGTAGTGCCACAACAAGCACCTCAAAGAAGTTTCAGAACGTTGTTTACCTCATATATCAGACCAAAATAGAGTATGCAGCTCCAGCATGGAGTCCATACCTAGTCAAACAGAAAATGAAGTTAGAAAAAGTTCAGAGGTATTCCACTAGGTTAGTCCCTGAGCTGAGGGGTATGAGCTACAAGGAAAGACTACTGAAACTAAACCTCATGACACTGGAAGACAGAAGAGTTAAGGGGAGGCATGATCACCGCCTATAGAATTCTCAGAGGAATTGACAGGGTCAATTGAGATGATTTCGGGGCTTAGTGTCCCTGTGGCCCGGTCTTTGACCAGGCCTCCACCAGGCCTCCACCCCCAGGAAGCAGCCCGTAGCAGCTGTCTAACTTCCAGGTACCTATTTACTGCTAGGTAACAGGGGCATCAGGATGAAAGAAACATTTTGCCCATTTGTCTCTGCCTCCACCGGGGATCGAACCCGGAACCTCAGGACTACAAATCCGAAGCGCTGGACACGCAGCTGTCAGGCGCCCAGCTGTCAGGCGCCCTGGCAGCTGACAGGGTTGATAAAGACAAACTATTTAATACAGGTGGTACATGAACAAGGGGACACAGGTGAAAACGTAGTTCTCGAATGAGCCATAGGGACATTAGAAAGAACGTTTTCAGTGTCAGGGTAGTTAACAAATGGAATGCATTAGAAAGTGATGTGGTGGAGGCTGACTCCATACACATTTTCAAATGTAGATATGATACGAGCCCAATAGGCTCAGGAGCCTGTACACCAGTTGACAGTTGAAAGGCAGGACCAGAGAACCAAAGCACAACCCCTGCAAGCACAACTAGGTGAGTAAAGAAGTGGGGGAGGGGGCATAGGAGCATGGAAATCTCGATGGGTAACAATCCATCGAATCAGCAGCTTTGAACTTCATGTTGATCATGCTGAAATTCCACTGGAGAACAACTGAGAGGTCTAAGCTCAGAAAATAGATTTCTGAGTAATTTAACAACAGATGTCCTTATCAATAAATTTGCTTTTTTTATATCTTGCTGTTCCTTGATATGGGTATTCAGAAACTCTTAAGTTTCAGTGTTAATTATTACTGGATTCCAATAGAAATTGCCACACCACATAAGAAGATGGTGTGGAACTTAGTCCTGCATAGTGTTAGGGAGAATTGCTTGCCTACGCATGTCTTGTTAAGCTCTATCCATTTGTGAGGTACATGATTTTAGTATTCTCTGTTATTATGACAAAATTCAGGTTTAGAGGAAATTTGTAAGCTACTGATCCATTTTGCGTTACTGGGTATTAAGACACGAGTGCAAGTATTTTTTTTTATTTGAACACGTAAGTTTTGTTGTTATATCAAGGCTGCATCTGAAGATGTATGATTTCACAATTATCATAAATTTCTATATATATATTTACCCAGTGTTTCTACAAATATTAAGCTTTGTAGTAATTATGCCGTCTCCCTTGAATTGTCACTCATTTGTCTCATAAGATGTGAAGATGCTTCAAAACATAACTAAAATGCAAGAAAAATAACAACACACTAACAAAGATCTCTTATTTTCAGATGAATTGGGTGTTGGATTAACAAATAATAGTATTCAGTTCAGCCGGGCTTTCCTTGGGTACTTGGAAGATGTCTTGCGACTGTATTGGCCAGAAACTGAGCACCTTATAAATGAATCCCTCACAGCACTCTTCTCTGCTCAACTGCGTCACTGCAAGTCTTCCTTAGCTGAACCTCTTTTTAAAAATGAAGTATGTACTATAAATAGTTCTCCATTTTTGTTTAATAACGCTTGATTTTTTATTTGTCAGAGCAAATGCCTTATCACTGAATTACTAATTAGGTCTCTCCAGTAGATGTTATCTAGTGGATAGTCGTTTTTCTAGAAAGCACTACCTTATAGTTTTGTCAGGCTCAGTGTTTTTACTGGAGTAACCCCAGCAACTCCCTGAAGCTATCTTGATGAGCTTGCTCTGTCTAAAGAGTCACATCAGTCACAGAAATTCTGATTGGTCTACTGAGGAGCAGAATCAGACCCTGACCCCTGCACAGAGGCACAAGGAGTGAATGACAGTTTGCCACCTCACCAGGAAAATGCCCCAAAAGTCAGCTAATTTTAAGAACAGCTGGAGGGTTCACAGAAAATGAAGCCTTGAAACTGCCAAAACACTCCTTAAATGAAACAATAGATTCACTCAAAACTGGCTTAAACTTGTTAGTACTGATAGCTGCCATTTGGCAGCTTGGTGCCAGACCACAGCTAACTGCCCTGGTCAGTCCTGTCATTGCTGTGATGATGGTTATTACTACTTGTAGTGCTCTGATCCACCAGTTGGGGCAAGGCGACTAGTGGGATCAGTGTCATGCACTAGTTGATTTTGGGACCAAGGAGATTGGCAGGAATTATACAACTCTACAGAATTAAAATTGGGATGTTATTGTGATAGGTAATAATAGTCCAGTTTGCACATAACCCAAAAATGAGTCTATAAAAGTAAACCAAATGACCAGCCCTAATTTGGATATCGGTGTACAAATGCAGCTGGTAGGAAGTCAAGAGCCCAAAATTGCTATAAAAGAAGACAGACTAACCAAGGCAGTATCCTCTTTGACAATTTGACTTTGACACGTGTATAAAATTTGGTTCCTGAGAGGTGGCACAATGACTTAATTAAATTATTAGGTCAGTCAGTAGGAAGTAAAGCCACATATGCTATGTATTTCAATTGCAAAATACAACAAATTAAGCAGGGTCATTCAGTATATGCAGTGTGTGAAAGATGAGCTTCATCTAAAAAAATTTGTGAACTAGATTGTTTGAAACATTATGGAAAGATATTAAAATATGTATTTTATGAATGAAGTCATAATGTGTCATAATAAAGGAAATTTGAACAGCTCTCTATTTCAGATTCCTACAATCCGACGAAACAGTGCCTTCCTTCTTGATGTGATTCTGACTTTAGGGGAACATCGGTATGCTGAGACTGTGGGACGTGCCCATCCTACCCTTCCAAGTCTACACTCTCAAAATGCTGCTCTGACTGGGAATACTATTAATGTACCCAAAGTTAATAAATATGAGTCAAACTTCATCTGATTTAGGGAATGCAGTAATATACCCAGTATGTAAAATGAAATGCAGTAACTGACTCGCTTTCCAAGAGATGCTATTTCATGTTTACATGTACTACCATTGCATTGGAAAGAGAATAGGGATAAAATAAAATGTGTATTTCATGAATAAATATTGAGATACCTCCTGACATGAGACATAAAAATACTAAAAGAAAATATTCTGTGTATATCCTTTTGCAAATATAAAAAATATTTTGTTTCTTTTGATACATATACAGTATATCATATTTTCTTAGGTATCTAAAAGTTAAAACAATATTACACAATACATCCTGTAAGTATTGGTTAGTTCAAGACATTTAGGAAAAATAAATGAGCTCTCTGGGAGGGCCTCCTTAGTAGCTTCCTAAAGCTAAGCCATGTCTTGGGGAAAGTAAATGCACCAGGTCTCTGAGCACTAATACTAGTTATAGGTATTATTAGGTATAGTCACTAATGTCTATACCTATTAAGATTCAGGACCAGAATCTAGCTCTTTCTGAAGCAAGGGTAGATTGAGGGATTAGAGATCAACCCAAAACCTAGAAAAAACACCAAATAGCAGCAGCACTACAAAACTAGCAACTGCTTAAAGGAAATTAGATACCCAGACAGAAATAACCAAATGATTGTTGCCACAGTTGAAACACCTTAACCATGATGAGTCCCTTCATGGGTGGTTCCTTAATGTGTTTATTATCTCTCAGTAAATTTAAGATATTTGAACTTTGCCCGGTTCTGAGCCAAACTGATGTTATGTTAAATGAATGTGCAGACATTGCTGTCAAGGAGGTCATTCACACGTCCTATTTCATGAAAAGAGATTCCTCATTCGAATTTCTACCAAGTCATTCATTCCCACAATTTGCGTCTGTTGGCAGAGTGATTGGTTTGGCATTACTGGTAAGAAGCTGCACATCTTTAAAGGTGACCTAATACCTTGGCCTTCCTTCTGCCACCATAATAGATGGTGGGAAACAGCTCTGTCTAGTTATGTATCAGCCCAACACACTTAACTCGTGAGCAATTAATGGACCACCACCCTGCTTCTTATTGTGCAAACTGCATTGTCCCACTTGGTCAAGCACCTCCTTGAAGATTTTCCTAATTTTGAGGATGATCATATGTTTTGCTTTCCTAATGATTCTCGGGGTCATTTGTCCCTTGAAAGAATTATTGGTGAAGCCGATACCTTCGATATTGCTCACCTTATTTGCTTTTGTTCTAGTATTGGCATCTAGTGATGTTTAGCACTTTTTTGAATATCCAGCAACACAGACGATGCTACATAGTCTTCCTGACTTGGCGCCTTATTTTGATGATTACTTTCTTAACCGTGATGTGCCTGACCACCATTAGGTGGCAGTCCATGTCACATGGGGTCTACTGTGCTTTAATTTATGTAAGTAACCTCGCAGAGAGAGAGAGCTCATACGTGTTAATGTTTCCGGATAGATAAAAATTTAAGAGAGTAAGAATTGAAGAGGATTGTAGGGTACTGCAAGAAGACCTTGACAAACTTCAGTAGGAGGCAGATAAATGGCTGCTGGAATCCATTCCATATGTGTAAAGTAATGAAAATGGATATGAGAGAGAGATAGAGTAAATCTGTGATTAACTACACATAAGGCGGCAATTACGAAAAAGACCTGGACCCGGATTCATAAAGCAGTTACACAAGCACTTACGAACCTGTACATCTTTTCTCAATTTTTGGCGGCTTTGTTTACAATTATTAAACAGTTAGTGAGCTCCGAAGCAGCAGGAGACTGTTTATAACAATAACAACAGTTGATTGGGAAGTTTTCATACTTGTAAACTGTTTAATAAATGCAACCAAAGCCATCAAATATCGAGGAAAGATGTACATGTTCATAAGTACTTGCGTAACTGCTTTGTGAATCTGGCCCCTGGGAGTAGGCATACTTCGAATACTAGCACTAGAAGCTCATGTGAACAGGAGAACATAAGCAGCATGTGGGAAGTTAGTAAACATAAGAATGTCATTTAAGAATCAAAACAAGGCGACTTTCATGTACATGCAGTCTATGTGAGACCATTATACGTATAAGTATGCAGCACCAACATGGAAATTACAGCATGTGAGGCATGAACAGAACGTTGGAAAAGTTCAGAAGTTTGCAGCTAGATTAGTACCAGAATTGAGAGGCCTCTGCTATGAGATTACAAATATGAACCGAGAGGGAATCTTGTACACGAGTCTTTCTTACAGAAAAAGGAAGATGGTGAGAGGGAACAGGGACCCCCTTGTGGGGCAACAGTCAAAGCAGGGCACAAGTGGTAGCGAGGACGTTGCAGGGACTATGCAAGGTAGTGAAAGCAGTAACAATCATGACAAGGCTAGGGATCTAGTACTTTTCTAATTGGTACTTTCTCATGTTCTGCCTTGGTTGGATTGGTCTTGGATACAGGTGCAACTCTTTCCTCTTTTGAGTAAGCCCAGATGTAGCTGTGCCACTATTTCTAGCTGCAGGTGGGAGGTCTCTGCTTTTCCATTGGGACCTCAAGCACCTTTTTTTTGGCAACCTGAACTTTGCTAGAGTGATTTATCCTCTGGGCTATGTACTAAAGGTTCATTTCTGAGTTTTATAGTGGGTGTTTTTTTCACTGTGCTCCCTAATGCATGACTTTACCAGTACTTAGCTCAGGAAATGACTAAGGGCCCATCAAAAAAAGGTATTTCATTATACAGTATTCAAAATTAAATTTTTATTCTAATACTGAGTATAGATTATATGTTTTTCCCATGTGACGTGTAATTATAAACCAATAAACAGTGATGGATCTTACAGCAAGTTAATTGAGCATTAATATTTGAAGGCAAAGATCACAAATTACCTATATTGGAAACTTGAATCTTAAAATTTCTTCTGAATGTCATGATCTTGTCTTTCCAGACATATAATTTAAGGAGTGCTCCTCTTACAATGGAATACTGTATCAAATTTTACCAGCCTTGCCACTCTAAGGGTATTTGATATCTATATCATATCTCCATGTTACTATTCTGTTGAATATTGATTATGCTGTTAATGAAAATAAATTGCATATAAATAATTGAATATGCATTTGATTTAGCCAGAATGTTTTGTCTGTGTTTTGTAATTTTAAGGAAAGATTTTGTTTGTACTAGACTAAATGTAAAGAGGTACGGTACTTTAAAAGTACCACTGTAGAAATAAATTAACACATGCCTTTCAGTATTTTACAAGTCAGAGGTAAATGACTGCAGCTAGATACTGTGGAGAGGTTAGGGGCAGCATGTAGGTACCCTCGAGGTACAGGTGGCTGAGGCTACCTTCCCTGGGCAGCAGCTTGATCTCACAGAGGTATGCATCAGCAGCTACATTCCCTGGAGATGTAGGTTCCCTTGACTCACAATTGAGGGAGCAAGGTTCAGTCACTAGACTGGATACAAATAGTGGGCACATTTTCTTTCATCTGATGTTTCTATTGACCTAGCAGTAAATAGGTACCTGGATGTTAGTAATTGGCTAAGGGAGACCTCGATAAGTCTAAGTATAGCCTTCCTTACCCCAATAATGGTTCTTATATTTAATTTATTCATATGGAGTTAAATCTAAACTAACATTCCATGAAATTGCACATTTTGGTGTTAATGATGCAATACTTAAAATATTTGCACTTTATCCACATTTTGCTTTTAGTACAGTGGTACCTCGGGTTACGAACGTCGCTGTTTACGAACTTTTCGGGTTACGAGCCCAATTTGTTCGGAAAATTTGAATCGGGATACGAGTTTGTTGATACGCGTATGGCCGACCTAGTGCATGGTGGCACAGCGATTGCGCCTCGCGCCCATTGATTATCCCGCCTGAATTTTTCACAAGAATTTACAGCTCTTTGTCGGATTTTTGGCCATTTGAGCATAAAAGTAATTATATATCTTGCCATGGGTCCAAAGAAAGCTAGTGATGAGGTTCAAGGCAAGAAATTGCATGTGAGAATGACAATAGAGGAAAAACAAGAGATTATGCATAAGCATGAAAATGAAACTCGTGTTGTTGAACTAGCTAGGTAGTACAACAAATTCATGTCAACGATATGCACTGTACTTGCCATGAAAAAGGACGTTATAAGTGCTAAAGTGGCAAAAGGCGTATCAACAATCACAAAACAAAGACCACAAGTACTTGAGGATGTGGAAAAGTTGTTATTAATTTGGATACACAACAAGGAGTTAGCGGGTGATAGTGTTTCAGAGGCCATCATTTGTGAGAAAGCCAGGGTATTGCACGAAGACCTTGTAAAGAAAACCCCTGGAACGAGTGCAGATACTGAAGACTTTAAGGCAAGCAGGGGATGTTTTGACAAATTTAGAAAAAGAAGTGGTATTCATAGTGTTGTGAGGCATGGGGAGGCTGCCAGCTCAGACAAACCAGTGGCTGAAAGATTTATTGAAGAATTTAAAGAGTTTGTAGAGGCTGAGGGATACCTACCGCAACAAGTGTTTGTGATGAGACAGGACTGTTCTGGAAAAGATTGCCTAAGAGGACATACATTACCAAGGAGGAGAAATCATTGCCCGGACACAAGCCTATGAAAGTTAGGTTTACGCTTGTGCTGTGTGGAAATGCGAGTGGCGATTTGAAAATTAAACCCTTGCTTGTGTATCATTCTGAAAATCCAAGGGTTTTCAAAAAGTACGGTGTGCAGAAAAATCAATTGTGTGTGATGTGGAGGGCTAATAATAAGGCATGGGTGACTTGGATTTTTTTTATGGAGTGGGTGAATGATGTGGTGTGTCCTGCCATACAAAAATATCTGCAGGAGAAAAGTTTGCCACTCAAGGCCCTGCTTCTCCTTGACAATGCTCCTGCTCATCCTCCAGGCTTGGAGGATGCATTGTTGAATAGATATAATTTTCTCACAATAAAGTTCCTTCCTCCTAACACCACTCCTGTAATTCAGCCTATGGATCAGAAAGCGTACCATAGCGAATTTTAAGAAACTTTATGAAAGAGCACTTTTCCAGAAATGTTTTGAAGTGACTGAAGCCACAAACCTCACCCTCAAAGAGGTCTGGAAACACCATTTTAACATTTGTAGTGCTTTAAAACTCATTGACAAAGCCTGGTAAGAAGTGACTCAAAGAACCCTGATCCAGAGATCAGGGTTCTCTGGAGTTGGTGGAAGAACACAACAAAGAATTGACCACCGAAGAACTCCAAGCCCTTGAAATGGAGCAGTAACAAGAGGCAGCTGGGAATATTTCTTCAGAGGAGGATGAAGCAGAAGAGAAAGTCCCTTCCTCAACAATTAGGAAGTGGTATCAGATGTGGGAAGAAATGCAAACTTTTATTGAAATGACTCACCTAGAGAAAGCTGTAGTAGGCCATTGCATTAATCTTTTCAATGACAATGTGATGCCTCACAACAGACAAATGTTGCGAAGAAGGGAAAACAATCTTCAATGGATCGTTTCGTTGTGAAAAAATCAAGCAGTGAGCCACAATCAGGACCTAGTGGTATGCAGGCAAAACGTACCAGAGAGTGCACTCCAGAAAAATCTTTACTGCCTGATGTTATAATGGAAGGGACTCCCCTTCCAAACAGTAACACCTCTCCTCCTCACCATCTTCCATACGCCAACAGGCGTCATCAGCAAGGGGCAAGTAATAACTTGAACATACTTTTGTAGTGTAGATTTGGGTGAATTAGATATAAAATTTACTTTAAAGTGAAGTTTTTGGGGAGTCAGGAATGGATTAATTCATTTCCCATTATTTCTTATGGGGAAATTAGCTTCGGTTTATGAACCGTCTCCTGGAACGGATTAAATTCTTAAACTGAGGTACCCCTGTATATAAATAAAGCTCTGTAAAGAAATTGAGCCATGTACCTCATTAGTATCACAAGGGGGACAGACTTATACTCACCTCCATTGTGTGTAAAGGCTACACTTTAATCATTATTGCCTTTTTCTCTTATGACAGTTATAACTGTATCAAGGTTGAATTTTGATGAAGATTTATTAATGAATTGTTGCAATTTCAGCTAAGGCAGCTACTCTTAGTAAGGTGCTCCTTATTCTTCTCTTAAAAATGAGCCTTGAGGAGCAGAGTGGTAAAGATTTCCCATTGCCAGGGACAGGAATACTGTACTGTTAGGCTTACTGAGGTTAACTTAGACAAAGGACTGACCTTTCTCTGAAGGCAACTCACAACAGTTAAGTAATTACCTAAGTGTAATTACCTAAGTGTAGTTACAGGATGAGAGCTACGCTCGTGGTGTCCCGTCTTCCCAGCACTCTTTGTCATATAACGCTTTGAAACTACTGACGGTCTTGGCCTCCACCACCTTCTCACTTAACTTGTTCCAACCGTCTACCACTCTATTTGCGAAGGTGAATTTTCTTATATTTCTTCGGCATCTGTGTTTAGCTAGTTTAAATCTATGACCTCTTGTTCTTGAAATTCCAGGTCTCAGGAAGTCTTCCCTGTCGATTTTATCAATTCCTGTTACTATTTTGTATGTAGTGATCATATCACCTCTTTTTCTTCTGTCTTCTAGTTTTGGCATATTTAATGCTTCTAACCTCTCCTCGTAGCTCTTGCCCTTCAGTTCTGGGAGCCACTTAGTAGCATGTCTTTGCACCTTTTCCAGTTTTTTGATGTGCTTCTTAAGATATGGGCACCACACAACAGCTGCATATTCTAGCTTTGGCCTAACAAAAGTCATGAACAATTTCTTTAGTATATCGCCATCCATGTATTTAAATGCAATTC